GTTAGAGAGGCTAGGAAAAGAGAAGAGGGAAAGAGAAGGAGAGAAAGTAGGGGAAAAGAAAGCCGGGAGATGGAATGAGGGGTAAGTGAAAGGAAGAAAGGAAGGGGAAAGAGAATGATAGAATAAGAGGGGTAATACTGCAATAACCCGCACAAACAGCTCACAAACACACACGTTTTAGTCAGAAGTAAAACCACAATCTAATGACCCGGTTTCTCCCTTGTTAGTTCCATAAATGACGAATATCTTGTTCATTTCGACATGTTCCAAAGGTTTTGTACTGGTTCTTTAAGGTGCTGTCACACTAGCACTTTTTCCGTCAGCTTTTTGACAATTTTTTTTAAACATCAATACAAACATTCTCGAATATAACTCTTGATTTGAGTATGCTTGGCTGAAAAGTTGACGGAAAGGTTTTCAGACGGAAACGATCATTATCGTCTGACCGGAAAATCGACAATTCGCTCAAAAATTGACAAAATTTTCAGAAAATTGTCAAAAAATTGACGGAAAAAGTGCTAGTGTGACAGCCCCTTTAGTTCACCGTACAGCTGGGTGCAAGGAATGGTAATATCTCTGGTGTTCTAGAGCAAAGCAATTTTTTTTTTCAAACAAAATTCCTTCCACAGCAATATAAAATAGAGCTTCAGATAATCAAATAACACACTTTCGATTTTTTTTTTTTTTTTATCGAGATAAGAATCCATCCGCTATTGATATAAACAATTTTCATTATCAGAGACCCTTTCTGAATGTGTATTTTGCTGAATGATAAAAATGTGATAAAAATCGGAGCTTCAGAGCATGGAAAATAGAAATTGTTGTGATTTCGTGTTGGAGGAAAGATAATTTTTTTTTCTTTAACCTGCAGTAGAAAAAAAAAAATTTCTTTACCTTGCAGTAGAAAGTAGAAAAAAAGTTGTGAACAGAGGAAAAGGGGAAGAATGAGGGTGGAGGGAGAGAAGGAGAGAGGAAGGAGAAGAAGAGAGAAGAGAGAAAGAGAGAGAAGAGAGAGAAGGAGAGAGGAAGAGAAGGAGAGAGAGAGAGGAAGAGAAGGAGAGAGAGAGAGAGAGAGAGAGAGAGAGAGAGAGAGAGAGAGAGAGAGAGAGAGAGAGAGAGAGAGAGAGAGAGAGAGAGAGACGGATACATATCTGTCGATATCTGTCTCCACATTCCTGCGTTGCCATTGCTCGTGTTTGAAAGATTGTTTGCAAAAATGGGTGTACTTGTTTTTTTCACATGTATTGGCTCCAAGTCTTTAATTTCATTCTTTACGAATATGATGCTCGATACCCCATATTTTATATCGTTACACACACACATACACACACACACACACACACACACACACACACACACACACACACACACACACATATATATATATATATATATATATATATATATATATATATATATATATCTGTGTGTGTGTGTGTGTGTGTGTGTGTGTGTGTGTGTGTGTGTGTGTGTGTGTGTGTGTGTGTGTGTTGTGTGTTTGTATGTATAAGTATATTGTGTGTGTGTGTGTGTTTGTATGTATAAGTATATTTGTGTGTGTGTGTGTGTGTATGTATAAGTATATGTGTGTGTGTGTGTGGTGTGTGTGTGTGTGTGTGTGTGTATAAGTATATTTGTGTGCGTGTGTGTAAAACTTATCTGATCTCGGCACAGTTCGGTGGCAGGACCCTCCTCCCGGTGCGCTGGATGCCCCCCGAGAGCATCCTCTACAGGAGGTTCACCATAGAGTCGGACATCTGGAGCTTCGGCGTCGTCTTGTGGGAGATCTTCACGGGAGGAAAGCAACCCTGGTATGGCTACAACAACCAGGAGGTAAGCGCCTTTGTCCTTTTTTTTGGGGGGGGGGGGGTGGAGAGCTTTTCCGTTCAGGCGAGCGAGATAAAATGAGACCGTCCAGATGAAATGCAGTTATTTCGAAGTAAAGGAAATAGTTATTCTATTTCCCTGTACCCTAGAAATTAAGTTATTTCGAAGTAAAGGAAATACTTATTCTATTTCCCAAACCCTAGAAATGAAGTTATTTCGAAGTAAAGCCAATACTTATTCTATTTCCCTATACCCTAGAAATGAAGTTATTTCGAAGTACAGCCAATACTTATTCTATTTCCCTATACCCTAGAATTTAAGTTATTTCAAAGTACAGCGAATACTTATTCTCTTTCCCTGTACCCTAGAAATTAAGTTATTTCGAAGTAAAGGAACTAGTTATTCTATCTCCTTATACCCTAGCATTAGTATTTAATCCCAGCATCAGTCCTGCCTTCTTCATACTCACCTTCTTCTTCGTCTCCCACAGGTGATAACTCAGATCACCGGGTGCAAGGTGCTCAGCTGCCCCGACCGCTGCCCGCCCGACATGTACCGAATCATGGTGTCGTGCTGGAGGCAGAACCCCCAAGAGAGGCCGTCCATGGCTACCCTTTACGCTCAGATCTGCAGTCTTATTACTGTGGAACCGCATGTGCTAGACTATGACTAG